TACTTTGTGGTGAAACCCTTTGCCTTATGCACTGCAACAAGGCTCTTACACATCATATGTCTATTTTTGGCACAGAATTTTTTTAGAGAATCCAAGGAAATGAGTTTACTGGTTTACTAAGATTTTTTTTTTAGGGTTCGGTCAATGATACCACTATTCAGTAAGGTACATGTCTGGTGATTGGCCAGGCCATAGCAGAGTTCTGATGCTTTGATTCTCTTTCTAACTCGGAGGTAGGAGTATATTTATTTCTAGTCTCTGTACACTACTCACAGTTCGTTAGTGGTGTAATCGCAAACATGTGGGTGAAAGGAGTTCATATATTATTGCACAGAAACAACGAAATGCGGTTGTTATAGGCAAAAATAATTTCATTCCATTTTAAGTTTCCTTAACATAAATGTTCTAACAAAATAATGAATCAATATGTTTGGCAGATTCTAGGTAACTTAAATCACTTATCACAGTATGTAAAGCGTGAGTTTGATCTAGTAGCAACTTTCTTTGCCTAAATATTAACATCAGTGATTGTTGAAATTAGATGATTTTTATAATTCATGCACTAAGTCTTTCAGCACCTTGATAACATGAACCTCTCAAATTTCTGTCGTCCAGGAAGTTACCTAAAAGTGGAAGAAAACATTAACATAAAATGTATCATTTTAGCAGCCGTATGTTCAATATCATTTGTGAAACCAACTTGACTTTTAGCGATACAGTATGATAGCGATGCCAGATTCGACATGATCAGATTAACCTTACTTGATCATCTATGTTAGTATTATCAGAATCCTGAATTACTTAAGCCAGATTTACATGGTACTGTTTAATAAAAGTCATCAAAAATTTGAGTTACATAAATAACCCTGGAATATGAAGTACGATTGTTTGTTTGTTTTGAATTTCGCATAAAACCACACGAGGGCTATTTGCCCTAGCCATTCCTAATTTAGCAGTGAAAGACTAGAGGGAAGGCAGCTAGTAAGATCACCCACCGCTAACTCTTGGGCTACTCTTTTACCAACCAATAGTGGGATTGACCGTCACATTATAATGCCCCCACGGTTGAAAGAGCGAGCATGTTTGGTGGGACGGGGATTCGAACCCGCGACCTCAGTTTGCGAATGAAGTACGAAGTCTGTTTCATTTGCTAATAGCGACGTAAATTATTGCGGATATATGTCAGAACTACCTATTGCAACGCCATACATCCTAAGAGGGCATGGCGTATTTACAATGAAGTTTAAATCCACACTAACAATACGAAATTTTTATGGACACTAGTTTCGATATTTCACATGTTCTCTTCAGCCCAACGTTGTACTGCAGAGAACATGTGAAATTTCAAAACTAGTATTCATATAAATTTGATATTGTTCCGCTAGTGTGGAGGTAAACCTTTTTGTAAATAACTCTATGCTGTATTGTATATTCACCTGTTATTATAATATAATATGCGGTCACAAATCACACTTTCTGTACTTGGAAACATACTATGACAACTATTATTTTCTTTATGGGGCAGCACGGCCACAATTCTTACTTTCGCGTGCATCATATAACCACAAATGTTTTTTTGTTTTTTTCAGCATTGTAGTTTCTCCATCATTTCAACAGATGGTCACATTGTTGTTGCCTCATTATTTCAAAATATGGCCACATTGTTCTTTCTACAATGTTTCATCATATTGCATTTTTGTTTTTTATCCACTGTATCAACATATATATATATATATATTCGCATCGTATTTCTCCACTGTTTCAACACATAACCACATTGTTTTCTTCCACGGTTTCAACATGTGTCTGCACATCGTATTTTCTCCACTGTTTCAACATGTGCCTGCACATTGTATTTTCTCCACGGTTTCAACATGTGTCTGCACATCGTATTTTCTCCACTGTTTCAACACATAACCATATTGTTTTCTTCCACGGTTTCAACATGTGTCTGCACATCGTATTTTCTTTACAGTTCCATCATACGCCCATAAATGGTACTCTCCTCATGCAACTTTTAATCACCACTTTTGATTTTCTTATTGATTGTGAATAACCTAATTACAAAACTATTTTCGACTTCTTTTTTTTTTCTCTGTTTGCAAACCAATAAATTCCATTAAACACCTAATAGGAAGTTTGAATAAAATCTACTAAGCCCGAGGTGTAGGCATAATTTAAATTCATCACATAATATTCTTTACAAGGCAAATAATAAAATTAATTAACTGAAAATATTTCTTTGTGGTTTCAGGTTACAACTTGTTGGTTTATAGGCACAAAGCTGAAAAATGGACCATCTGTGCTGTGTCCACCGCAATGAACAAACCCAAATTTGTAGTATTATAAGTCATCAATTTCACCGACGAGCCACTGGAGGCGTACGAAAAAAAATTATAACGAGATTACCTCGTCAGAAAAGGCCCGGCATGGCCAGGTGGTTAAGGCGCTCGACTCGCAAGCTGGTGGTCGCGGGTTCGAACCCCCGTCCCACCAAACATGCTCGCCCTTTCAGCCATGGGGGCGTTATAATGTGACGGTCAATTCCACTATTCGTTGGTAAAAGAGTAGCCCAAGAGTTGGCGGTGGGTGGTGATGACTAGCTGCCTTCCCTCTAGTGTTACACTGCGAAATTAGGGACGGCTAGCGCAGATAGCCCTCGTGTAGCTTTGCGCGAAATTCAAAACAAACAAACTATAGCCAGAAAACGTCCGTAATTAAATGACATGAAACATTTATTAATACCTCGTTTTACACGAGTATGCAGAAGAAAATTAATAATATCTTATGCATTCCTCAAACCCTTAAAGGTTAAATACAAGACATAATTCTATCGTTAGTCCATCACTTCTACAGAACTACCCTGTCATTTTAACAAGACAATATAAAAGTTTGAAGTATACGTTTGCCCCATTGCCTTGACAAGACTGTGCACAAATCTAGAACTCTACAATTTCTTTTTAATCACTTCTATGACGAAAACCTATTTCTACCTCCTGATCTAGACAAGACTGCTTACAAATCTCAAAGCCATTGCTGCCCCCTGACTTGGAGAAAAAAATCCAGCCTAGTCTTCACTGCCACTCCATGACTTGTACAAGATGGTGCTTTAGCTTAGTCTTTCCTGCTACCTCATGACTTCGAGAAGATTATGTACTAGCCTAGATTCCACTATTTCCCCATGACTTCTACAGGCCCAAACTCCATTTCTATCCCATTACTTTTCCGACAAGACTAAATGAAGGACTAGAAATTATCGCTAACCCGTGTCTTCTGCAATACCAGATGCAAGTTGGAGATCATCATTGTCCTCTCACCCTGAGAGAATTGAAGGAAAACGTAGAATCCATCACTCACCAGTCATCTTGCCCACAGTTTTTTTCATTTAAAATAAACTTGACATATTGAGTAGTAACTTGTAAACTTAAAACTGTGTTGTACGCAAATGTATGATTTCACCCAAAAACAACTTACGATCGTGGAACAGTATATTACATCACCCAATTTGTTCACACTTTTCTTTGAAATCGTCATCTGTTTTGAGGCCCTAATGCATGTAGGTGCAAATGTGTTTTATGGATGATACAATACTGTCTACGTATTACATCAGCAGCTTTATAGGCTGTCTGAGGTTCTTATTGGGAGCCAGATTAGATACTGTGAGCCACTGGGTGCAGAGATATAGAAAGACTAGCTGTGTGTAGCGGCACAAGGGAAAGGGGTAGGAAGAAAGCTTCCACAGCAACTGACGATCGTGTTCTGAAATGCATGAGCTTGCAGAACTGTCGAATGTCGTCCACAGATCTCATGAGAGCATGACAGGAAACTTAAGTGCACCATCCTGTCTCGTCTGTGTTCAGCCGGTATATGTATTTGGATGACTAAAATATGAATCAGCTTACACCACACACTGTCTATCACCATTTTGCAGTAATTCTGACACTTCCTCAGCGCACAATCTCGTGAAACTTACAGGAACAAAGAAGATGTGAAAAAAAAGGGTAATGCAATAAGTTTTTCCATCACTGTATACTCCCTAACTACATATCAAAAAGTGAAAAGTTAAAGCAATCATCGTATGTTAACATGGTCACGCTGGCAACAAAAAAAAGAAAAAAAAATGTGATACTTTATTCTTTTAACAGACCACTTTAAAAAAACTACGATATAACCTTAGCACGTTTGACAGGTGAATCTCTCTTCATCACAAGTAAATACAAATTACTCTTACCACTGAAGTTCACCAGCAGATAGTTTTAGAGTTTTATTAGATTTTTATATGACTTGCTAACTTTCTATTATACGTGTTTTCAACTATCTTGAATACATTTCAACATAAACCACTAATGTAAGGAATTGGCTGTTAAAGAACAAGCAAGTATGACGTTTGTTTTTTGTACTAATCGAACTACAATACCACTGTGGAAGTATCCCAAATGAATATGAAAATATACAGTTTTCGGAAAGTACAATATTTCTGCATAGGCAGTATGTTTCTGCAACTTGATTTTGTTATTAATGTCTTTTTAAAAAACAATTCTACTCATTTTGAGACATCCCACAAAAATAGGAAAATTTTAATGAGTTCACTGTGCTAATGTTTTTAAACTTCTTATTAGTGTTACTTTGTTGTGGGGCAAATATATATCAGAGGTAACTAAAGGTGTCTTTTCTTTTTCATCCAATAACAGACAGCACTGTTGTTGTTGTAAAAATATTACACAAAAAACATTTAGGCGTTTTTAAAAAACAGTGCTGAATGTTAGGTGCAACATTATTTTGAATTAGTAATATTAGAAAATTATCGTTTAGATATTGTCATTCATCTTAAGTTTACGTTTTTGATTTTTAAAAGTATTGAAGCTATCAAGAACTACAAATATAACGTGTAGATGGAAATGGTCCAGTTTGCCCTTGATGAAGAAAGGTCTACCTTTAAGTGCTGGTTGGGTAAAATTATAATTCTAGTTAATGAGAAGTTTGTTTAATTTTTATTTCAGTGGACCGAACAAGTGTACATCGTGGGCAAACACTACAACAACCCACTTCCACCTGTTGCCGAAGAAGACACCTGTAGACAAGTAAAAACCGAAACTGGAAGTCGAGGGCCTTCTAACTCGTCTCGGATATTTTCCGCTTCTGGAACAATGAACACCAGCAACGTTAGTGAAGATAAGTGTGAACGGCTGAGAAACGAAACTGGAAGTCGAGGACCTTCTACCTTGTCTCGGATATTTCACATATCAAGTATGATAGACAACGAGCCGTTAACTACGACCAACAAATTCAAAGGTCTTCTGGCGACAGAGAAATTGAAAGTTCTTCCACCGGTAAATAATGTAGAAGACAAATCTTTGAAAATAATAATAGAGAAATTAGTAAGAAATTTTATATCAACCAAACAGATGAAAGGAAACTAATTTGTGATATAAATTCAAACCCATTTTTAAAGGGGAGGGAATTAGGGATTTAGATAAAGACTTAAATTATTTACTATCACCTAAAACCCTTGTAACTTAATGCTAATAACTGAGTGTGCATTTGGAGCATTTAATAAAAAAAATTCTACAAAAATCATGCTTGAAATTTTATACCGGTTGTACTACTATTAAAATGCCCCCAGTGGCACAGCGGTATGTCTGCGGACTTACACCGCTAAAAACCGGGTTTCGATACCCGTGGTGGGCAGAGCATAGATAGCCCATTGTGTAGCTTTGAGCTTAATTTCAAACAACAACAACTATTAAAATACCATAATGTTCTTCTCTCTATAATTAGGAATTGGTTGGGCTGACGACTTCGAAACATGATGTTATGATTATTTTTTCTTCATTCAGAATGATCCAAAAATAAAAGACATGTTGCTCAACCTACACTTATTGCAAGAGACAACGAAAGTTGTGGAAAACCTGGTTAATACAGAGAGTTGAGTACGTTATATGCAAATCAGCATGTAACGTGACAAACACAGCCAATATAAAGTCGCCTTGAAACGGTGCGTATCAGAACTGTATTTTGACTTTCTTTGGTTTTTGTTGGTAGTGTGATGACACCAAAAACTGAAAAGTTTGTGATGTTTCTTTCTGACGCAAGATAGTAATATACTTAGATTATAAAAATGTGTCCATGTGAATAATTTAGAATTTTCAAAACTGGGATATCCTTCGTAATTAATGGCAGTGGATAAAAAGCACCATTGATCAACTTGGGGTACGAGGACCATCCAGAAAGAGACTTGTAATAAAATGTATCCCAAATGTGAGAAACCATGAACACAAAGATGAGTACCAAAATCCGTACACTTGTACCAGGCGATATTACGTGATATAATCAAGAGCTTTTCCTTCCAGAAAAGTGAAACAATAACTTAAACAACATAACCATTCAACTGTCACATACCTTCAGCAGCTGGAGAATGAAACAGGTGCTTATGCTAATCCATACGAAGGCATACCGGTCAAATTCCCAGATGCAGTGCGTATTAGTTTCTGTGCGACGTACTCATGACAATCCATACCAAGACATATAGGTCAAATTCCCGCATGCAATGCTTATTAATTTCTATACGACTAGACTCTTGAAACTGTCGTCCTTTACACTAAATGAAGTATGGAAAGCAAGCAAGCAAGGAGGATTTGTTTGTTTTGAATTTCGCGCAAAGCTACACGAGGGCTATC